GGGGACTCTACCCGCCTTAAGAGACACTATTTTCGGATACAATTTATCCATTTTCACCCCTTCTCTATGGTCTTCCAAAAGTTAACTTACACTTTTTCTGACTCTGGAGGAATGTAAGGAGAGTTGTCAGGGGACTCTACCCGCCTTAAGAGACACTATTTTGAAATACAATTTCTTCATTTTCACCCCTTTTCTATGGTTCTTCCAAAAGTTAACTTACACTTTTCCTGACTCTGGAGGAACGTAAGGAGATTTGTCAGGGGACTCTTGCGGGCTCATGATGCACTATTTTCGGATACTTTTTTTCATTTTCAGCCCTTTTCCATGGATGAATTGAAACTTATTTGTTTTACATTTTGGTCAATTTGACCCAGTTCTGGTACCGCATTGCCTGGAGGATAGGACAGAGAGATGACAGACTCTCTGGCCGCCTCACTGACTATAGTCACTATTGTCGGACACTTTCTTTGCTTTACCCCGGTTCTATCACTCTTTCCTCCTTTGACCATAAAACGTGTTTCCTGCTGGGGTACTACCTGGTTCCGGGGCACCCCAAACCCTCTCATGGTCGGGGCACCATGAATTGATGCATCGGACCCAATGTTGCCATCACCAGCCCCGCGTTGGTGTGGAGGTGGGACCATTTAACCCGGTGGGAACCTAAGTCCTCCCTTGGTCCAGGTACCAGGTATTGAAGCATCGGACCCATTGTTGCAATCACCGGTTACGCTAACGCATATAAACAGAGAAACATAAAATAATTTAAATACAATTCACTGTGTCTGTTTCAGTAAGGATGTCGTCCGAATGCCCGGTGTGCGGACCCTTCTATCTGGCTTTGAACAAGCAAAGAAAGAGGCATCATTCTTAAAATGGCCAGTGGCAGAATAAATGTTCGGACCAAACCCTGTCCCATCACAGTGTATGCTGGGAAGAACCTAGACCGTCATGTAACTCATGACCACCCTGAGTTCTCCCGAGATGAGGCACATCAGGTCCTGGCAAGGCTGAAGCATATGTGGCACTGCAATTGCTCCATGACCTCAGAGAGACTAATCCCATCATTGGAATGGCTACATCATTGGATATTGACAATGAGGAGAAATACCCGGTGCACCCTCCACCCTTCTCCCCACATACTGAGTGTGACGAAGAGGACTGCAGGCAGGTGATGCTGGAAAATGTGGCATTGAGGGCTCAGAAGGATGCCCTCATTGATGAGGTGAAGATCCTGCGCTCCAGGCTGAAAAAGGGGCTAAAACCCAGGAAGCAGAGTGCCACTGCTGCTGTGCTTGAGGAAGAGGAAGAATGTATACGATTTAAGGGCCTGGCAATCTCAAGTACCTCCGGCATAAACACAGTAGCCTCCGGTAATGAGACCCCTCTCAAGACCCCGGTCAAGACTCTCATGCAGTCCCCAGCAGCCTCCGGTAATGAGACCCCTCTCAAGACCCCGGTCAAGACTCTCATGCGGTCCCCAGCAGCCTCTGGTAGTGAGACCCCTCTCAAGACCCCGGTCAAGACTCTCATGCGGTCCCCAGCAGCCTCCGGTAGTGAGACCCCTCTCAAGACCCCGGTCAAGACTGTCATGCGGTCCCCAGAAGCCTCCGGTAGTGAGACCCCTCTCAAGACCCCGGTCAAGACTGTCATGCGGTCCCCAGCAGCCTCCGGTAGTGAGACCCCTCTCAAGACCCCGGTCAAGACTGTCATGCGGTCCCCAGCAGCCTTCGGTAGTGAGACCCCTCTCAAGACCCCGGTCAAGACTGTCATGCGGTCCCCAGCAACCTTCGGTAGTGAGACCCCTCTCAAGACCCCGGTCAAGACTGGCATGCGGTCCCCAGAAGCCTCCGGTAGTGAGACCCCTCTCAAGACCCCGGTCAAGACTGTCATGCGGTCCCCAGCAGCCTCCGGTAGTGAGACCCCTCTCAAGACCCCGGTCAAGACTGGCATGCGGTCCCCAGCAGCCTCCGGTAGTGAGACCCCTCTCAAGACCCCGGTCAAGACTGTCATGCGGTCCCCAGCAGCCTTCGGTAGTGAGACCCCTCTCAAGACCCCGGTCAAGACTGGCATGCGGTCCCCAGAAGCCTCCGGTAGTGAGACCCCTCTCAAGACCCCGGTCAAGACTGTCATGCGGTCCCCAGCAGCCTCCAGTAGTGAGACCCCTGTATGCCAGAAGACCCGTGTGTCCGTATACAATAATCATTGTGAGGGTGTCGCACCGACAGTAAAACAGAAAGAAAATTGTCTGTCCAAGGTCAGCCGGATAAAGAACTTCCTCGTATTCATGGCCCATGGTGTTAACCGGCTGTCAGATTTGCTGTTCCTAAAAGACACAAATAGGGTCCGTGGCTGGAGCGAGTATATTGTAAAGTCGGGCCGGGCAGTCACAACATCGCTGTTGTTCCTGAAGAATGTGAACCATTTCTTGAGGTACTTGTCTGAGTCAAAGCTCCGGGGGTGCAGGCTCACCCAGTATGATATGACCCACATCATCAGAGAGGTGAAAGCCAACATGAACGACTTGAAAAAGTCTGTCACTGTCCACCAGTTTAAGGTGAAGAGGAACAAGCTGGATTGTCTGCCAAGCCAGGCGGTGTGTGTGTGTGTGTGTGTGTGTGTGTGTGTGTGTGTGTGTGTGTGTGTGTGTGTGTGTGTGTGTGTGTGTGTGTGTGTGTGTGTGTGTGTGTGTGTGTGTGTGTGTGTGTGTGTGTGTGTGTGTGTGTGTGTGTGTGTGTGTGTGTGTGTGTGTGTGTGTGTGTGTGTGTGTGTGTGTGTGTGTGTGTGTGTGTGTGTGTGTGTGTGTGTGTGTGTGTGTGTGTGTGTGTGTGTGTGTGTGTGTGTGTGCTTGTCTGCCCAAGGTTAAAACATTTGGGACAGCAGTGAGAATGTGAGGCGCCTGTTATGAGAAACAATGTGTTGCTTAGACTAAACTCGAAGGAAGCTCGACTGGAGAATTAAAAATAAATCAAAACAACTGTACATTAATTAAATACATTTGACATTTAGCTTGCAACACAAAGTGATACTGATCTCTGTCTGTTATGATTTGAAAGTCTCATGATTTAAAGTGTAGGCCGGTGAAGGAGAGGCCCTTGGAAAACAACATCTATTTTGTAACTGTACTTATTTTAAAGAGATTGCAACATTATACTTTTTAAAGAATTGCTCACTTCATTTAATACATTTATTATGCACACAATAAAAACGTCAAATAATATATCGATCCTGGCTTAACCAGCGACCTTTACTCTTTTGTTCATAAGCTCGGTTTCAGAAAACTTGTCAGTCGTTTAACAACTATTCAAATTTTAGTAATGTCTATTGAGACCAATTTGGTTGATACGAGAAATAATTTGAAGCAGTTTAATAAAGAATGTTAAACTATATTTAAAACTGTAATTTAACTTCAACTTATATTAATTATCTGATTCCAGTGGCCAGTTGGAATAGATAATCAACAAAGTTTCCATTTGACAGCAACAGCGCAAAATGTTTCAACAATAATTCGTATTATGTCTGAGTCTAGTTCTGTCTTATCAGCTTTGTTTTTCGAAATGTGTTCAATACATTACGTTTTTTCATTATTACCATGCAATACATATATTTAAGAATAAATCAAACAAATAATACAACCCTGACCTCCTCAGGCAGGTTGTTTACGACCAGCAGTGATGCCTCTGAGGGTCTCGGGGTGTAAGACGGGGTATAGGGTTTATACAAGGTCACAAAGATATCTTAACATACCAGCAATACAATTTAAGAATGTATTCTTAAAGCAATATCATCTTATTTTCTTCTTACACCTACAGCGCACACCCTGAACAGTGTGCTTCTTGTTTACATTTTCCTCTGCACACTCAGATGCAGGACATAAAAACACTCTTTTGCTATTTATTTTCACTTTGCAGCACATTTATACTACCAGAATTTTGCTTTACATCTTTATATTATTTATTTTACTCAAGTCATTTTGGTGAGTTAACTAAAGTTTAGTTTATTTAACCTTGGCTATGGACTGATTCATTATTAGTTGTTACAAAACATACACAAGACGGCGGTTAGACAAACCAATATAGATTATAGACCCCCTGATACAAACAATCAGACAAACAAACATGAACTCGTAATAAACACCAGTGTGCCAGCAAAGCTCATCCAGCTCAATTTAGTCCGAATTAAGAGGTTTCAGATGGGGTAGGGAATTATCTCCAGTGGGGCGCCTTGACTCACGCTTCCACCCTTGTATACAAGTCCTATGATCGGTGCCTGATAACTGTCCAAGAGCGATAACTAGCTTATCCCCGTGCGACAACCACTACTCTATTCTAGTGGTGCTATGCCCCCCCCCGATCAGGAGCGTATAGACTTTTATTTTCCCTCTACCCTTTCCCTCCAGCAACAAACACAGTTATGGCGCGTTTCCACTGCAGCGGGTAGCTCGCTTTAAGCGCGCCGAGCCGTGCGGGGCCCGTTTTTGGTTGCGTTTCCACTTGGCCTAGTTTTGGCCCGAGGCTACTTTTTCACCCTTTTTCTGGCCCGACTAAATCGTGGTTCTATCGAGGCCAACAAGCGGGGCCAACAACCGGGCGGAATATGCTAAACTAGTGACGACTCTGATTGGTCAGAGAGAATCGTCACAATTCTCGCGCGACTTAATCCCTAGTGTCGCATATATTAAGGGACGCTTGCAGCATTTTTGTAAACCTAAGAAAATGGCAAAGAAAAACATACCGTGGTCGATTGACTAAGTTGCGACGTTCCTCCAGCTGATTGCAGATGATAAAATCCAGCGGGAGCTCGACGGCACAACTCGCAACCTAAAAGTTTTTCAGGAGGTCTGCACTGCACCGAGCGCGGATTCTCAAGGACTTTCCAGCAGTGTAGGGAAAAACTGAAAAAGCTTAAGAGTGAGTATAGAGCCGTGAAGGACCACAACGACCGGAGTGGTTCAGATAGGAAAAGCTGGAAGTGGTTCGACCTGTGGGACGCTATTTATGGCCATAGACCGGCCAACGTTGGGAGGGAGGGAGGCCTGGACTCTGCAACCGCGTTACTGGAGTCCCTGCATGGTAAGTCTTTGCTAACGCTCTGTTATTTGCTTGAAAGCGTTGTGTCCCTATCTATTCTAAAGCTCACTTCTAACAAACAAGTATTTTATCCTTACATTTATGTTCGACAACCCATGCTTTTATGGAGCCCCGAAGAGCTACATAGCTAGCTGGCAGATAGCATTAGCTAGAGCTATTGTTTGCTAACACCACATGCGCCATTGTTTAGGTTCTTCTTTTCTACAGTTGTTGTTGCTATTTAGTATTGTGCTACAGTAGTTTGTGGAATTAACAAGTCATGTTGCTGTTCTAGATGATGCCATTGGGACTAGTGAGGAAGAACAGTCCCGAACAACGGGTGGTGGCAGTGTTCCGTCCTCAACATCATCAGAACACACCTCAACTCGACCACAGACACCAGTCGAGGAACCGACACCAACGCCGAGTGCCATCACGACACCGCAGCGTGTGGTTCTAGGTAAGAAATAGGCATGGCAAAACGACTGGAATTGTGACTTTTTTTTAAACTTTAGATCATCCATCGTCATTAAGTAAAATAAGCTATACCACTGTGTGGAAATGCTCAGTTACAAACTAGCTAGTACGCAGCTAGTACAATTGTGTGTGACATCCTATTATATACATATATTTATATTCATTATCAACAGGCTGGACATAATGTAATTCACTTTCACAATCATTGTAAACATCTAGGGCATAACTGTCTTTAGTTCATCCTTACTGTTGTTCTGCTTATACATTGTATTGTATCCTTGTGTGACCTGTCCTGTGTTTTTCATTGTTATTGCTAATTGTTATTGCTATAATTATCTTATCGTCATACAGGCAAGAGGAAACGAGGAGGAGACGAGCACCTAGCACAGCAGGCACGGCACCATGAACAGAGCCAGGCCCAGGTGGATCGGCACTGGCAGCTGACCATGGAGGCTGCTGCCCGGGCGAGGGAGGAGGAAATGGCCTTGAGAAGGGAGGAGACCGCTCAAACTCATGTGTTTAACCTGGCCTTCCTGCGCACTCTCGGCCAGGTTCGAGGGGGCAGCCGACGTGGCCCGTCTCCTCAGGAAGACGAACCACCTCTGTAATTTGAATATTATTCAGTTTCATCTCTCTTGTTTTTGTTAATTTGTAAATGCAACATTTATACTTTCTTGTTTATTTCTTATCTTTCCTTTTTTTTTTTATAATGCCGTATCTATTTATGCTGCTGCAATACAAAAAAAAAATATTTTGTATTTGTACAATGCCATGCCTTTTTATGCTGCAACAAAAAACACTTCCCAAATTGGGATTCAATAAAGTACTTCTCATCTTATCTCTTGTTGATAAATGCATCATCTGATTTCCTGCCATAATCTGATTAACAAACTGATTTCCGTGAGCATGTAAACAAAGTCACTGGGTGGCCACTCACACACAAAATTACAGTTTTGGAATCCAATCATAAACTGAAATGTACAATTAAAGGGCTTTAAATCAGCAGAACAAAAACTCAGATTCACATGAGGCAGAAGTTATAGGCCTATATTTTTCGTAAATAAAAATAGGCTACAACTAATACCATTGCTAATAATATTTGTGAATCTTTAAAAACAAAAGCCTACAATATCACTCAAAAACAATTGTAAAAATAGCCCAATTAAGATCTAGATATAAACATACATGAATTTATAAAGCAATAAGAAACACCATCAGTTAGGAAAAAGCCCATAAGATAAAAGTTAATTTTAAGAAGAGATTTAAAGCAAGAAATTGAGTTTGCTTGCTTGAGGTCCTCCTCTAAAACATTATTTCGTAACTGACACATTACTTAAAGTAAAATATTTCCTTTCACAAATAAACTGGAAGGGGGTATTTAGAAAAAAACAGAAAGAGAAGGGGGATAAGAGATCATTTGTATTTATGTTTACTTTCATATTTGCTCAAATGTTCTTATTATGGGGAAGTACTTACTGGTGCTTGAAAATCAAATATTTACTAAATAGTCAATTCTGATAACATTTGTTTGTTTAAATCATTTGACAAACACATATGTGAAAGAGAAAAATAGATTTATTTATGTTCAATACAATGTAGTAATAATAAAAACAAAACGTCACTAGCCTTAATGGCCCACAATCTTTCAATGTCGTGTTTATAATTACAAACACAAGAAATGTATATCAACGTACTGAACCATGATGTTATGAACCAAAACATTCAAGTTTCCTGTATACAATGAATATTTAGCTATTCAGGTAGCGCATCAAACTCTGAGCCGGTCGCAAGCTTCCACAGTGCGATGGCCACCCTCTTCTTTAGAGGTATACACTCGCGGAATGGTGTGTCCTGTCTCTCCATCGCTGGCCGCAGTTTGTTGCACAGGTATACGTATGTTTCCTCAGACATCCTGAAGTTCTCCACCCACTGAGTGTGTGTGAAAGATGGAACAAATCACACCCCACCACTCGGTTGCTCGGTCAAGCATCCAAACACATGGTCTGCGGTGGCAACCTAACTTCTGAAATACACAAACAAAAGCATACATATTTTTAATACGTAAAAGTGGTAGCTACAATTAATTAAATACTTGAAACACTTTTGTCATATAATGAGCGTGAAACACTTTGGTCGTATAGTGAGCGTGAAACACATTTAGCGAACGTTAACTTACCGAATAGCGTTGTCGTTGAGTCGTCCTGGAGTAGTCTCTGCCGTGTTGTACGATTGCCATAAGTCTCCCCTCAGCTTCTTCTGTATTACGTCTTGCTATAAGCAGCCTTTTCCGAAACAAAGTTTTCCTTCTTGCTGTGATAAAAAACCACATACCAAGAAGCAAGGACACGATGGTTTCCACATCCTCCATTGTTGTTGTGTGTTTTGTGAGTTGTGTCGCATTGAAGATGACATCACGGCAGTTGTATGCAGCGTCGCTCCGCCCGCCAAAAAGCTGATCGCCCCGCCTACACTGCGTTACTATGGTAACTACCCCAGTTCCTAAACTGTAATGGAAACGCAGCATTAAAGTGAGCCGGGCTAAACCAAACCGAGCGAGGCCTGCAGTGGAAACGCGCCATTAGTGTAGTCACTTACGGACCAGCCTATACACTCGCTATCGAGTTCATTACAACAATGAAACAGTCTTGCTCTACACTCGCATGCCACTGCCCACCCGTGATCAATTAGCCTATAATTTTATGTATGCACCCCCCGGACCGGCACCAGTTCCTCCAGCATGTAGGGAACTGTGGCGCATCAGGAAATGCACGCACCTCGCGCTGCCCCGTTTTACTAGCACATAGAAAACGGTCACAAACAACGAGTGTGCATTTGGACCTTTCTCCTTTTTAATAGAGATGGCGGTGGCGTGAGTTAAAGTCGTAGGCACAGACTATGACTTTCTCCCTCTCAGTTCGCACTCCACCAGCAAAACAGATATGGGGAGGTATTTACACACACACCCCGCGCTGCAGCTGGAGCCGTGTTTAAAGAGGCGATAGTCGTGATATCTCTGGCTGCTTCTTCCTAACTGCTAGTGTTGGCCGCTGAAACCCCTAAAATTCTGCGATTTGTTCGATACAAATCTTTACATTGCTTTCATACAGAAGTTCCACTTTACTGATGCCTTTCTTTAAGGTTTCTCCAAACATGAGCTGTGTATGCTTGTATGGCACATACGTCCCGAGCAGCATACACAGAGAAAATCAGCCAGGACAAAGTCCCCAGACACTTATTCCCTGGGGTTACTAGCCCCAAATGTTCATCAACCAAAAACGAAACACAGCCGCTCAGTTTCACAGGTAATTTCAGGATACCGTCAATCACAGATTCTGGTAAGGCAATGTCCAAATGTGGATTTTAAATTACACTTACCAGTTCTGAAGATATGTTGGTATCCTGCCAACAACGCCAATTTGTGGGGGAAACATCTGAAGCAATTGGAGTCAGAGAGACACGAGGAGAGCTGGAGCTTTGATGGCAAACATTGACGGTTTATTTGGAGCTTCGGCCGGAGAATTCACAAGACATGTCACAGGCCACGGTTTGACCACACGGTTGAGATGCCACAATCATAGGAGGCGCGTGAGGCTCAGGTTTGGGAAGGCTAAATCACTTTTTTTACCTGACGTTGCCCGCCTCCGGCGTCAGAAAAGAGATCGACTCAGTGAAAGCACCGCCTGCAGAGCTCAGTGTGCGGAGTTTAAATCTATCAAGTCATATTACAGGATAAAGGAAATACAGTTTAAACTGCCGTATGCAGGGAAGACGCCGACGTGTCGCACTTATCATTCATATCACATTATCAATCAGATCATTGATCACATAATATCATTATATATTTATATATTTCCTTATCTGAGTCAGCTTCTCGAGCCGTATCTGGCTGTGCAACACTTACATTGTCATATACTGTATGCATAAGTATTATTTTAAGCAACACATTAGGTTGACGAAACACTCAACTCAAATGTAATTAAAGTCAGATCCACTCATGTCTAGATGGGGCAGTGATATCATAAAACTGTTGTACGCTTTCAAACACTTTATAGTAGTTTATTTATTTTTTAACCAGTTTTTCTATATTCACCTTGCAGGTGCAACTATGTAGCTTGTATCCTGGATTACATATTTAAATCATGGATGTTTAAAGTTCATATTTGTCTAATATTAGTTTACTTTTCATTAGGGCCGGGACTTTAACGCGTTAATTAAGATTAATTAATTACACAAAAATTAACGCGTTAAAAAAATTAACGCATTTTAATCGCACTTATTTTTGCACCGCGGAACGTTTCTCACTGGATGAGTTTCAGGCGTACCGATTATACTGGAGCACCAACTAACGTTCATGACTTCAGACAACAACAAACCACAGTGAACAACAGTGGGAAATGTTCTTTTAAAAAACGGACGGATGGAAGCGTCGATAAGAGCACGGTTGTGTGCAAATTATGCAAAAAGGAATTCGCAGCACATCAAGCCTCAAGTATCACCTCAATGCAAAACATATAGCAGCTAGCTTGGAAGCTAGCGTGGACGTTAGCCTCTTTTATCGCGTTCACACCAAAAAGAGCCGGTACTAAAATTAGTTCATGAGAACCTTTTTACCCCCACGAAAGTCCCTGCTAGAGAGCAGAGAGCTGCTAGAGAGCAGGGACTTTCGTACGGCTCTCTTGTGAGAAAAGAGCTATATTTCTGATTGGCTGGGCGGATTGCAAACCACGCCCCGTAAAACTCCCAAAAAGTGTTGTGAAGCCGCCATTTTATTATCCTCGCATTAGCATTATTAGCATTAGCCCAGCGCAGAAACGCAGAGAGACTAACTTATGGCAACACAAAATAAAACATGGGAGCGGTGGAGATGAGGAGGTGTCGGCGTTCTGGCGACTCGGAAGGTTGAAAGAGTTCTCATGAACTAAGTTCTCATGAACCTTTGTGGGAAAAGTACTGCAGTGTGAATGCGCCTAATGGTATACTAAAATCCATGTGAAAAAAAATTGCTTCTCACTGTTCTTAGGTCAAATATTTATATGTGATTAAAAATGCGATTAATTTCGATTAATTAATTACAAAGCCTCTAATTTTTTAATCGAGTCCCGGCCCTACTTTTCATTAATGAAGTATGACGCTGCGCTGTCAGTACACTTGTCCCAGATACGCCTCTCTGATTTGTCGCTGTTTGTGATTGGTCAAATGTTGCTAACCCCGCCCCTTTCACGTGAATGCTTTCAGCTGGAGAGAGAAACCCTGGCTCGATTTACCGAGTTGATAACCAGCGTCGTAGGACCGCTTAGCGAGATCTCGTTTGTTAGGGTTAGTTAAGATAACTCAAACATATCCAGGGTATGTTGAACTGGCTTCGTAGTACAGGGCACAGGTGGCTGCATAGGAGCGCTAATGTCAAAGACACAAACATTATAGGCTACATTATATTTTTATTTTACCAGGATGCAGTGACAAAAATATTTGGGAAGGCTTAGCCTTCCCTAGCCTACAGTACCCGCCGCCCCTGGCCACAATCAATCCTCAAGAACCCTCCTGTAGCTCAAGGTTTTAACTAGTGTAATATCAACATTCTTCAATAGATCGACTAAACAGCTGAGGACACTGAATCACAGTTGTTGTCCCTTATGGCTCGGGGTCATCTACACCCCGAGAAGGATGTGTTCCAGGTGTCCCACAACAATAACTATCTTTGACAGAGAGTTGCCCGGTCATAAACTGGCAACATCAACACTAGGGCAGCCCCTCCCTATGGGAGATAACGGCTGCTCAAGGTTGGTCAGCTGCGTCAGAGGGCAAAGGAGGACATGCAGGGCAAATTATTCCCCAACAGTTACTTGATGTATTACAAGTCAAAGTGGATTGTAGAATACATTTTATAACATGCAATAATTGTAGTAATATTCAGAGAACATGTTTGAGGGGTTGTTTGCATAACATAATATTTATTTATTTATCAAATTTGAGCATTTTTTTGCATTCTGGAGTATCAAACAAGAATTGTTTGTATTCATTGTAAGATTGATACATTTCTGCAGTTTGCTCGTCATAAATGTTACATGAGAGGTAATATTTTTGATTTATGGTATTAATTTACATGTTACTCCTTTCAACCTACTACCAGTGGTGGTGCAGTTCCTACCCCGTTATTTTGTGTACGCATGGGTCAAATTGTCCGTGGAGCACCGCACATTGACCCATCATGTTAGCTTTTTATAAATTGGAAACATTGCTTCGAAAATGTACCTCAATTATAAACATGACGTACGCCATGTGTTGAGCGTACTTCATGGGGCCTCATAAATGAACTCTATAGCTGTCAATGGTTGAGGGGATTTTAGTGGAGGATATGATGAGAATACTTTCTCTTGTGACTCTTACTATCACTTAAAGGGGACCTATCATGCAAAATGCACTTTTGTACGTCTTTTATACATGAATATGTGTCCCCGGTGTTCCAGAGAACTCACCAAGTGAAAAATAGTCCGTTGTTACTGTTTGAACTAACGTAGCAACAGCAGGAACTGCTTCGATAGTGTTTTTGAGGAGCTTTTTGATTACAGATTTGAAAACATCGTTGCTTGCTTTAAAAGTAGCACAATTCATTATGTCAAACCTTGGAAAGTATCTAGATATCCCTGCCCTAATGCCAAAAGTAACTGACAACTGAATATGTGTCGCCGTTTGATGTCTATGTCTGGACCGCTGCGTAAAAAGGAGGGTTTCTGTCCCATTATTTCTCTTCTTACTTCTATAAGAATAAAACACGGTGGACGGAGATCTCTTTTTCTCCCCCTCTTCTCCCCGCTGCAGCCTAGAAGCTGATCTCAGAGCACGCTCCCCTCTCCTGCAGGGGGGCGTGGTCAGCTGCATCTCACAGAATCAGCCCCCTGCAAAAACAGCGCTGGAAAGAGCAAATAGAGCGAAATGAAGCATGGCTAAAATGCAGGATCTTTTTGGTATTTTGAAAAAAAAACTATATTTATATACTTTATATAGGTATGGCCTTACAATATATTGTTCAAATATAGCATGATAGATGTCCTTTAACTAGACCATTAATGAGGGCTCAAAGTGGCAATTCGAACATCATATATGTCTGTTTAGTTTTTTTCTAATCTTATATAAAGAGACATTATTGTCAAGTCACTGTGTTTCAAATCTTAGCATTGTGAAGATTTATAAAGCTTTTAAATGTTCTACTCACTCCAGGATGTATTGGAAAGTATAACAAAAATATTTCCTGTGCTTTATATATTTTTTACTTACAAAAAAGCATTTCTTTTATAAGGAGCTGCTCAGTATCTTGATATTAATTGTGTTCGTTCCTTTACAGGTGAAGATGACCAACTGGCTCTCAAGGGCAAGATGACTGTTGCAGACCTCTTTAGAAAAGAATTCAAGATTCATGACCCTAATGCCAAATGGATAAGCAGTAAGTATGCTTATTTAATAAAGGATTGCACACTTCTTATTTTCATTGGATTTGAACATATGTATCAAAGGTTATTTCTTATTCACACATCGCAAGAACAGAAGAGGATATTTTCTTGGGATATTTTTACATCGATTCCATGGGATATCAATCTACTACTTGTTTGTCAATTGTTTCAACAGCTTCATAGGAAGAATAATATCATGAGTCTCAGCTTTCTAGTTGTTTAAATGTGCCAATTCATCTTGAATCTAATTTAATAGGCAACTTTAAAATCCTAGGATATGTCAAATTGTCTTGTTAGATACTTAAAGTACATGAAAGTTATTGACCAATGAAATCCAAGAAGGGCAATCATTTAGAGTCAAAGAGAGAACACACCCCTATCCAAGTCTCACTTGGATAATTCCCTGACAAATACATTACATCAGTTTGGTTGTATTTTATTTTAGATAGGGCTGCTCGATTATGGCAAAAATCATAATCGCGATTATTTTTTGGTCAATATTGATATCATGATTATTCATTGACTTTGAAAACATCCATTTATTGAACTTTAAAAAAAAAATAATAATAATTTGAACAGTATGTTTTTAACAGTTGATTACCCTGAACTTTAAAGGTAGGGTATGTAAGTTTGAGAAACCGGCTTGAGATACACTTGTTGTTATATTCCATAGAATGCTCTTAACATCCCGATAGCAATGAATATCTTAAGTGCTTTGACAAAAAATCCATTAAAAAATGTCATCTGTGGACGCCGTAATACTGTAAAAAGTACGACCAATCATTTTAGCCGGCCCGGCTAAAATAACTAGATGGCCTACCTGCCTGTCAGCCTTCCATCTGTGCACAAACTTATCTCGTGCCCTCATTGGTCATGTGCGCATTCGTGTGTGTTGGAGGAGGGGCTCTATAAGGAAGTGGCAGATTTTCTCCGGTCGTGTATTTTCAAATTCTAGCGATCTCGAGCCGGTTTCTTAAACTTACATACCTTACCTTTAAGTATAATTCAACTGAAAAACCAATAAAAACAAAAAATATATTTTTATTTAAAGGTCCCATGTCATGCTTTTCTGGTTATTACCCGTCCCATTGTGTGTTATGTAGCTTTTTATGCATGTAAACTGTCTGCAGAGTCACAAACCCTCAAAGTACACCCTGTAGCGAGTAAAACTCTAACACAGAAAAGACCTGTCTATGCTGCCTCAGAACGCCTCGTTGGAGATTTCTCTTTTTCCATTTTTTTCTTCTTGGGTATAGTGACGTATTTGAGTATAGTGACGTTACGTTACGTCCACAGTGCCATTACGTTACATCACACACACACACACGCTCAATCTTTTCTCAGCTGCAGCTCCGCTGCTTTCTCAGCCTGAGACAGCGGGACACGGCGAGGCTATGAGTCTGTGTGTGAGCACACACACAAACTCACAGCCAGGCTGCGGGTGTGTGTGCTCGGGCTGGTTTCGGGCTGGTTTCGGGCTGGGTTTCGCTGTGTCTCACTGTCTCGCAGACGGCCTGGGCTCACAGGGAGGGGGGGGGGGGGGGGGGGCAGGAGCTCCAACAAGCCGTTTAGGACAGAGTGTGAATATACATACTGTACTATACAGAGATTCTGTATGAGAAACCAATGTGAGTTTGGAAAATGCACAATATAAATCTATTTTAATATACCTCAACAATGGAATTATGATCAGTAGAAATGGCCATGACATGGGACCTTTAACATTTATATCTACATTTAAATAAAAGTATGACGCTGCACTGTCAGCACGCTAACCCCGTCCCTTTCACGTGAACGCCCTCTCAGCCGGACAGAGTTTGAGAGCGCGGTTCATTTACTGAGTTGATAACCAGCTTCGTAGGACCGCTTAGCGAGATTGCGTTTGTTAGGGTTAGTTAAGCCGGGTAAATCAAACATATCCAGGGTCTGTTGAACTGGCTTCGTCTGAGAAGAGCAGCATCAGCTGCAAAGAGCTGTGCCTTTTACTGTTTACTTCACTGTGTTTCCCTTCATTAGAACAGCTGAATAGAGATCGAGGCTGCTACGTTCAACCACACACACCTCTATACACATCGAACTACCAGAGTATTCCATATTACTCGTTTTATGAAGGAGATGTCCGGTCACCAGGGTGCATGATGTGTGTGTGTTTGTGCTCAGCTCGGCTCTGTGTGTGTGTGTTCGGTGTGTTTGTCTGTGTCCGACACCACCGGCATTTGTTTTCAAATTACCATGAATGTAGTGCTACAGTCCTGCCGGAGTGCACCATAACGGACGACACTATCATAAACAAATACACACACACACACGCCCTGGCGACCGGACATATTCTTAATAAAACTAATAATATCAAATCAAATCAAATCAAGTTTTATTTATATAGCACATTTATAAACGATTTTCGGTCGAGCCAAAGTGCTGTACATATAATAAAAATAGCCTACAGCAGAGACACTTTACAGCAAATACAATGCTGTAAATACAATATGGCGTAATAATCGGGCAGTTCGATGTGTTTAATCATAAGAAAGTATCTTGTGCGAATGAGAAAGTATATCGTGAGCACAAATTAATAAAGCGTGGCCTCGTTTTATTTATTTGAATCTCTATGAACCCTCCAGGGCTCCGTACAGTACTCTTATTTTGGTAACCCCTTATCCCAAAACCGGAAGTAGCGAGCTAAGAGACTCCGGCTTGACGAGTTAGTAAAAGTTGACTGTACGCTAGAGCAGTGGTTCCCAAACTTTTTCTGTCAGGCCCCCCCTTTGGAGAAAAAAAAAAGTCGGGCCCCCCCAACACAAGTCAGACTCAGTGGCGGCGCCAGAGATTTGTTTTGGGGGTGCTGTGGGGTAGCTTGACCTTTCATAGAAGGTGCTCAAACATTTAGGGTTTCCCATTACATTCGCTACAGTGGAGTTTTCTACTGCAACAATCCCCACGCATATACACAACGTACCCGCAACTGCTACAATGAAGGCTCGATAATCAGCTCACGGCATATAGGTGTAAGCAGGGGTCAAGTGCTATTTGTATAGGTGGTGTGTGGACCTAACATAGGTCCACACACGCAACCTCACCCGGGAAGATTTATTTTTAAATATTGAAGTTAAATGCATCAATCTGGTGCACTTTGAGAGCAAAATGAAGATATCTATGGATACATCTCTCAACACCCATATGAAACAGAACTGTAAACAGATTTACTTTTTATTTATGGATATTTTACAAATCACCCTTTTAAACTTTATTATTTTTTTACTGTCATATAGTATTTCATACCTGTTTTTCATTTGTTCTCTTATTTTTTTATAACTATAATGATCATATAAATGTGTGCCTCGGAAATAATTGTTTACATTAATGGTGACCAAAACGTTTGAGACCCACTGAGATAACACTGAGAGAGTCCTTTAGTTCACTGAGCATCTCAGTCTGACAGGAGAGGACTCTCCTTCACTTTGTTGTTGAAAAAACTCCTTATATCCGTTAGCATAGCTCGCTAGCACCAGAAGCTAACAACAACGATCTCCAGTACCGGTGCGCTCTCTCTCTCGCGCACGCACACAAAATGGCTCGTTTCACACACACACACACACACACACACACACACACACACACACACACACACACACACACACACACACACACACACACACACACACACACACACACACACACACACACACACACACACCATGTATACATCACTTCAGGGGACATTACATTGACTTACATGCATTTCCTGGAGACTTGTCCTAACCATAACCAACACATGCCTAACCCTTAACCTTACCCTAACCCTTAACCTTACCCTAACCCTAATCCTAACCAAGTCTTCACCCTAAAATTAATGATTCCCCTCATGGGGACCTCCAATGTGTAAGGGAGGCGAGTCCCCACACGTGACTTTGTAAACAGATTTAGGTCCCCACAAGTATAGTAATGCTAGGCCACACACACACACAGAGCCAAGCTTTAATGAAACACAGAAACCCAGACGTAATAGTACTGTACTGTATCATATTATTTTCGAATCAATAATTTTTCAAATTATGATTTTATTTTATTTTTTAAATGTATAACCATTTTTCCTCCTGGTCTCTCGCGCCCCCCCTGTCATGCCTCTGCGCGCCCCACACTTTGGGAGCCACTGCGCTAGAGAATGGAGCATGGAGGACCTGAGAATAAAGACACGGCAACTCGTTTACACAAGAACAAAACGGGTTGGATCCGCATAGTTTCTCTTGCGTATAGCCCTTTCATTTACACGAGGCTGTAACAAAACGATAGAAATGGACCCCACAAACGATAACGGGTACCAAGGTGGATAGATTTGAAAACGAAACGCTCTGGTCCAACGGCTCCGTGTAATCGCCTCTATACAATCATTTCCTGATAACGCTGAAATAAACGCGCCTCCCTCTCCCCACGTCTCCTGCTCAGAGATCAGCTGCTGGGCAGAAGAGGGGGAGGAAAAGAGAGGCTCCGTTTATTATTATTATATTATTATACAGAGTCGTTATCAATTTGTTTTAAAGCTCAAAAAATAACAAAGAAGACCTCTGACCGGCACTTTTCAAATTTTGTACGGAAGATTTAAACTTGTTGACCGGCAAAAAAAAGTGTTAATGGAAACTGCCGCATGGTTCCCTCATCCCTTGGAAGAGGGAAGTGGGTGTTTTTCATCTGCTGGTGGACTACTGGAGAGATATACAGCAGGAGAACACGCCGTCCACCGCAGAGAATAAACAGAAGGGCAACCATGGCAACCATGCTCCGGGGTCTTCTTCGCTGCTTTTGGTGTGTTTTGTGGTGGCAGCAGCGCCACTTACAGGCCTGGCATATGTACTACAGCGTGTCCAGCGTTTCCAGCGTTTCCAGCATTTCCAGCATTTCCAGCGTTTCCAGCGGTCTCGTGTGAACGGACATGTTAAATAAATCGAATGTGTGTGAACGGAAGACTTTTTGAAAACGCATATGGTGCGTAAACGCA